TATGTATCATAAATATTCAAGGGAAAAGGTTAGAAAAAGTTGATTATATGCCGATACGTAAGCTTTTGTGACAGGAATTGGTTCAATGGTCTGTCTTATGTCAGTTGAACTACATACATACTATATATGCTTTCCAACTGAAGAATTAGCACCATAATTTGAGTTGCTTGGGAAATTAAGCCAGTTGAAGAAGTTATAACTAATGCAGCTGTTGTGTTCGAGGACCTCATAATGATGAATGATATTTGAGTTTGTACCTGTGTGTACCCATATTACAGTGTTTTATTTTGATGTTAATTTAATTTTTCATTTAACAGGGCAATTTGGATATGCATCTATCTATGGGGAGCTACCGCGGTTTGATTTAAAGAGAGATCAGGCCTTCTTGGCCCCATCTGCCCCATCACAGAGGCCTTGGGAGACCCTATTTAGTGGGTCATCGCATAATCTTCCGCCGCTCACCAAACTGTGTTCAGAATTTATGGAATCACTGCTAGAAAAGAGGACTGCCACCGTAGAATAACCTGTTTGTTGCCCTCGACTGGCAATCTAGATCAGGCGAAAGTGTGAAGAAGGTTTAGATGCCTGGTTGATCAACAAAGATAATGCTGGGGTGTGACATAGATTTGGTGGCTTTGGGGCAGAAGTCAAAACTGAATGCGATATAAATGATGCTAACACCAAGTCAAATCTGAGGAACTTAGAACTTGCAAATTTAGTAGCCTCGGCCAGGGTTATGATTTTGAGTTATTTTGAATCGTTGACCGAATTACAAGGCCGTATGAGAAGCACGGAATTCACATCCAATTGAATTTCCGTTGTCTTTAGAAATTTTGTAATTTAAAGTGGACGATTACAGCACAATTTTGTAATCTTATATTTCTACAGAAAATTTTGTAAATTTTGATGAGTTTGTATCTTAAATTCTTTTGTGTGCTTTATTGAACAGTACTTTGAACCTTTATCTGAATCATACTAAGGCTAGCTTCATTGTATTTTGAAGTCAATTGGCTAAGTTGGTGTTTTATACCATAATTAGCATCTCTCATGTAGCATGGATTGCCCGTAGAAAGTTGGATCTATTCTAGTAGACTGCAAGCAAGAAGTCACAATTCATTGTTGGGGAAAAGATTGTTTGAAATCGGGTGCTGCTATACAGTACTTGGTACATGGTCGATTTTTATTCGATATTTTGTTCGTACTTGATAGTTATGTGGAAACGTAGATAAAATATCCGTAGTATACCAAGTACCGTACATTGGTACCCGGTACTAGTTAATCACTCTCCATTGTTTATGCATTATGATCCACTCATAAAATCATATGAATGCACATAGCAGAATGCTGTTGAAAAACAATGGCAATGACAACTTCTGTAACCCCCCTATAGCTTGGTGTTGCGCATGTGGTATATGAACCAAAACAGTGTGCTTTTTGTTGCATTTGAGACCAATGTCCAAATTCTAATAGTGGTTTGTCTCACTAGTAGTTTTAAAATCGTAGAGTGCTATATGCCTCCACACTGTTCTACTTTAAAACATTGTTTATTTTGTAGATAGAAACATAATCTTACAGATAACTTCATGCATACGTGAAAATTCATACAAGGAGAAACTTTCTCTTGGTAAAATTAAGTTATTTATATCATCATTACGTTGATTTCTGAACGCTTAGATATACAGTTTATCAACATTTATCTGGTAAAATAGAGTCTAATAAGAGAATATTAGTTACCACCAAGATAAAATATTACATAGGAGAATATATGCCATACTATAGCTCCCATAAATCTATTTAGCCAGTCAAATACAATGTACATAGAAAGTTGGTCGTGAACATATTGGATAGCAAGCAAGCCCTTTCTCTTATCTATCGGCTCCTTATTGAAATTTTTTTTGTTGTTGAGAAATTCTAGGATTGCATTCATAATTCAATCAAATGAGTCACTAGCCACAAAGGACCAATACAAACAAACCACAAATTGCCATCATAATAACGGAGCGATCTAAGATTAAAACTAAGACAATTTGGTGAACCCATTTAAGTTTGTTAAACTATCACTACGCTAATATGCTTTAAAAAAACAATTAATAAGGCTAATAAGAGTGGATATTAACTAATATAATAATAATACGTATTAATTAAAAAAAAACGTCATTAGCAAGCTTTGTCAAGCCACCAAAACTCTCTCCAATAATAGTTTAATTAAATTAGGGCACTGATCAACAACTCTAAATTTGTACGCCATAGTTTTCTCCTAAAAGCTCCAGGGCACCCCTGTATTAGGGCATTATAGTTATTGTCGTTGCACCACCCTATTATTCCCCAAGTCTTTTTAAGTTAACCAACTTTCAACCCACTAATCACAACTTCAAGTAACATTTTTATAAAACAAAAATATTATATGATCAACCCTTCAACCCACTAATCCTATACAGATTCTCTCTCTCTCTCTCTCTCTCTCTCTCTCTCTCTCTCTCTCTGTGGCTGCGGCCATGGATGGTTACTGTTCACCTAACACACTGCACATGATATGTGGCCTCAAAATAATGGTATTCTGAGCATACATGCACCGTCCATTTTCTGCCACCTTTCTGTTTTTTAATATCAACTGCCACTCTGTTTGCATGTAAAGCCATACTTTATTATTTGTTATTTATTTCGAAATAGCTAGCTTTCTTAAATTCCTTTGAAATTAATTCATTCCAATGCATATACATACATTATCTCTGTCTCTAATCACTATGTTTTTCTAATATATATGGATATAACTGCTCCTGGGCACCTGTTCAATATATTAATCCAATTCTATTTTTCGTAGGATACTTTTGTCACCTGGTTGCCTATGATTAGCTTACATTGACACATACATATCCAAAACATGAAAGGAAATAATAAAGGAAGACTTTTGGCTATATATATATTATTTAATAATAATGCAATTGAAAGTCGATTCTTAATTTAAAATTATTATTGTTATTATTTTCAGCATTTTTAATGATCAACTCCAAGATCGCCTCGAGAAATTATAGAATAGTATTAAAGTATGGTCATACAGTATAATTTATAAACGTGTTGTAAGAGCATCTTCAAGGAAGATGTCAAATACTAAACATCAAATTTAAATTTGATGGCTGATGTGGCAATTTGACATTTACACAGTTTTACACTCCACCCGATATGTCAAATAAATAATTATTGTAACAGTCAAATCATTTAAGATAAAAATATATATATATATAAAGGAAAATAATAAATGAAAGTAACAACCAACTATCTTTAAAAATAATAAAATATTCATTTGACATCTTGCTTTTGGAATGTCAAAAATAACATCTCAACATCCAGCTTTCATTCCACATCAGCTTTGACACATCAGTTGGAGTAATGTGAGATGTTATTTATAGCCGTTAATATCTATATAGCATTTTTGACACATCGATTGAAGATGCTCTAACATGGGAACAAGTTATATCATGCGACCATACTTACCATACTACACTTCATGAGAAAATTAGTGTGACCAAAAATAATCAAGCATCAATTAATTTTAATCATTAGAAAGTGTCATTCAATGATTGACGTCGGCAGTGGAGCTGCATGAAAATAATGTAGCAACACTATTATTTAAAAGATGAGTTGCTGGCATACAAAATTATGAGAAAAACAAAACAAAACAAAATTGCCTTCCTTGGGTTCCATCAGTGACAGCTTTACTGGACCTTTTGGGCAGGGCTCGAACCATACATGCCTTCTGTCATGACAGCAAGCAGATTAATTATTGATATAATCCAATATAAATAATTACTGAATAATCACAAAAAACCAGGGAAAAAATACAACGGAAATTATAATTCCTTGTGTTTCTTAAATACTTACGATCATTTCAGCTCTCAATAATATTGTCTATATTATATGACAATAAGGAAGACTTACTCTTTGCCAGCTGCTCTCATGAAAGCACTCCTTGTCTCACTCCTGTTGTATTATACAGATTATTACTAAATATCAATACGATACCGACGAAATATCGTATCAAATATTGTAGATTGATATATAATAACCGTTTCACTCAATGTTGAAAATTACACAAAAATAATGTCGTTTCACTCTTTTTTTAATACTTGTCAACTATTAGTAATTAGTATAATTGTGAATTATAAAGTATTTACTAATCTCAGCCTTCTCGCCTGTTTTAGTAGGCCAATAATATCCACTTGAAGTACAACACGTTCTTCATAAAAATAAAAATAAAAGTACAACATGTGGGATGATGTAAGAACCCTTTTTCATGTTAGAACAATTTCTGATATTTATATCCCACTACCTAAAACTATTATGACATACGTACATCTTATCCCAAGTTATTATTTTTTTCCTTATCATATAATGAGTTCGTTTTTCTGTATTATATGACAATTCATGCATGATATGTGTCATTGCCTGATTTCTTTATACCTTTTCTTTATGCATGTCAAATGTCATTGTTTGTCTTGCATGTTACTTCTCCCAAGTCGGCAACTTTCATTTATATTTAAAATATCACCAACACTTCAACGAGATCTAACCCAGTAAATTTGTGGTCTCAAGTTCGAACCGTTATAACACTTTGACAGTGTATGTGAGAATTTCTTCTAGTTTAGATTATCGCTTGTATTTAAATGAATAAAAAATCACCAACACCAAAAATTTAGTAATAAAAAATCAAAATTAATGGTGACTGAAATGCATAAAATTAAACATATCCCACCATATCAGTCCCTTTTTCAGTCTCAATTTTCTCAATCTAGCAAAAGCATGAAAGATATTTGAAAAAAAAGTAAATGAAAAAAGTGTTGGGAAGTGATGTCCAGCGCTGTGGAGTCAAATCACTACAAGTTTTATAACAATCTCATCACGTGAAGTGGCCTTGCTAACAACAGCTCTCTCTGTCTCCATGCTTGCTTTATATATACAACAAACATCTGTAAATCTATATGTACACGTCGATGCTAATTTAATCAACAACTTCCTGTTGAAATGGAACCATGTGGAGAAATTGAGAAGGAACTGTTATTGCATTCATATTCTAGATCCTCAAAACCCCAAAACTCATCTTGCTCTTCTTCCTCCTCTGGCATCTTCCATCTCTCTTTATCTATGTCCCCTTCTGAGCCCATGACCTCCAATACCTGCAAATTAAGTTACTATTTATGTCAATTTGACGTATATATATATTGCAGAGGAGAAGGAGAAGCTAATACTCTCATGACATACAAGTTCTTCTCCTAAAGTTGATGACACATTCATTTGTAGACAGAGACACTTCCTTCCTTGTGTCACAAGATTGTTACTTTGTTGACAGCAAATTCAGCTGCTAAATTTACTAATTGGACTGATTTTGGACTATACATTTATATTCAAACTATTAGGAGAGGAACCCAATTAAAATTTCCTATATATGGAAATTATCACAACTAAATTAAGCCCCACAAAGCTCACTGATTAGTCTTGATTTGATGCCATGTTTAATTCATTAATATATATGTTTATGTATTCAACATGAAAATGAAAATGACTGCTGAAATTGACACGGTTTTACAATAATTAGTCAAATTAGGACCCACTCTCACAATCCTTTTGGTGATCATAGCTTTAATCTTTCTTAATCAGGTGCATTAATCCCTTATTATAGATATTCTACAATTTAGCACATATATATATATATATATATATATTTAGGTTAGGTGGAATGGAACCATTTGTTGGGCAATCAGAATTGCGTGAAAAAACCCAAATGCCCTGCCACCAACTACCAAAAAGAAAAACTAAATCTAAGTTTCATCTTTTTGGTATTAACTGGTGAAAATTGATGCATAAAGTCATTACAGACAAACCACCACGTACCATTTTTGAAACCAGAAGATGACTATTAAAGATGGTGTGTGTATATATAATTATATAAATATATGTATATAGTTATTCTCTTATCCGAATGTCCGTACGTTATTATTATGTGCGGATGTCATTGTAAACATGAAGAAAAGCAGAAAATATAATAAGAAATACATTACGTCCGTGACATTCAAATAGTAGAATTTCTGTACATTGTGTATATATATATAAAGACATTGGATTTTAATGCATATTAGCTGTGTTAGTTGGCCAGTCAACCAAATTTTACTATTGGAATTTGGATTCATCAATATGACAATGGAAACACAGATATCTATGAAGATCTGATTACTCGGTTACACGCAGTTTATTTAGAAAGATTTGTGGGCTTTTAATTATGAGTTTCCTATACAGTTGCAAATGTGTGACATTGGCGTTTGTTCAATTAGTCAATGTATGATAAGCTTTATTAATATCTAATATGTTGTTGTTAAGGCAAAGCAAAGCACGCACTTAATAATTAAAATTAATAGCTACCTCGGTCATGGTAGGGCGCCATGTTGGAGATGCTCTAATGCAGAGAGATCCTGCAAAGGCAAGTCTTTTCAGCTCTGTAACATCATAGGCCCCTCTAAGCCTTGGATCTACTAGCTTTTCAATTTCTCCTTGGTTTAATATTGGTTTTGCCTGTTAAAGTCAGATTTAAACTTCATTAGAACCATAAGAAATTGCATAATAATTAATAAAATCCTTGAGGCATATGGGGGTGACTTGAAATAGACTGAATCAATATAATAAGCTCTGTAGAAGGTTGCTATTGTTACCCAGCTATGTAAGCTTTGGTGAGAGCCATCCACTGGTTTTCTGCCTGAAATGAGCTCTAGTAAAATAACCCCGAAAGCAAACACATCTGTTTTTTCATCCACAATTCCATGCAGATAGTACTCAGGTGCTAAGTGCCTGCACAATATATACATATATAAAATCAGCAATCATTTTGACATTGATGGATTCAAATCATTGATTTTGTTGATGAAAGCTTGTAAGATTTGAGTACCCAAATGTCCCTTCAATTGGAGCAATTGAATGATGAGTCCATTGAGATGGAAGCCACTTTGCAAGTCCAAAATCAGATATCTGTGGTATTTCAAACATTAAAACAACATCAAATTGAATGCATTTTGAAACCCACTTCACAAAATTTCACATCAACATTGTTCTTGATCAAGAAAAGGCACCAGAAAGAAACCATGATTCTAAATGAGTACCTGTGGCTCAAAATCTGGAGTCAATAAATATTTGTAGACTTAATGTCCCTGTGAATTATCCTTCTCTGGCAGCCCTTGTGCAAGTAATGGAGGCCTCTAGCTGTCCCAATAGATATCTTGTACCTTGTTTTCCAATCCATGGGTGGTAAATCCTCATCTAAACAAGGATTTCAAGAACCGTCATAAGAAAAATTATTCCAAAAATGAAAAACAAACCAGAAACCACCCAACAAACAATTAAGTAAAACAAGATGGGTATTTTCCAGAAATCATTGTTGCATGTTTACCATGGAGAAGAGAAGCAACAGAGCCTTTAGAGGAGAAATGGAAGATGAGATAAAGCCCATTGTCAATGCAACAACCCACAAGTGACAAGACATTTGGATGGCACACATGGCCAATGGTCCCAATCTCATTCAAGAACTCCTTCTCTTTCCTTTCATCAGTGACAGCTTTTGTGAGCCTCTTCACTGCAATTTCCTCACCATCTTTTAGAATTCCTCTGTACACCTCTGCATAGCCTCCTTTTCCAACCAAATTTTCTGACAAAACCCACATCACAAAATATCAATTTCTATCACCCAAAGAAAAGCCCAAAAAAAAATATCTAACAGTTTCTAAACTCATCTGGGAAGCAAACAAACCTGAGCTGAAACCATTGGTGGCATCAGAAATTTCTTCATAGGAAAAGCATTTCCAGGTGGGTTTGGGAGAAAGCTCAGCTTCTTCAACATTCTTGAAGCTTCCATTGTTTTCTTCCCCTTTAGAACCATTTAGGCTTGTGGCTTCTTCTAACTTCTCCATTTGAGTGAGAATAGCCGTTTCAAGCTGTTGGTCCTAATGTATTTCATTGCTATAAACTTTTCAACAGGGAAAGCCCTGTTTCATATGCAGAGCAAGCAAAGTTGCTCAACACAGAAACAATCTCCAGCAGCTGAAGTGAAACAAACGCAAAGGGAGCCAAAGTCTCTTATCTTTCTCTCCCAATTTAAGAGGCAGGGTCAAGGGATGTCTGTTTCTTTATATTGGTTCAAACTTCAAAGGCAGTGCTTTGTCCTGTTTTTGTGGGTGTGGGGGTTGTGGGACTTGGGTTGGGAGGAATGATGGTTAATCCCTGCATGGGATAATTACTTCTTATAGAAGGGCAACAAAGGGTTAAATGAAGAAAACAATTTGTAGGATTGTCTTGATGTCAAATGTTTAGCACACATAATATTTTAATTAAAAGATAACATGCGTCTTCATTTTACCACTAATTTGATATTTTAATTTGTTAATGTGGGTAAAAGGGGTTTCTATAAGCTAAACAGTACATGGCAAATGTGTGAAGAAACGTCTCACGTTGGAAAGTTAACCTAGCAATGACTTATAAAGAGTTGGATTATTTCCTTCGTTACCAATTGGTCTTGAGGTGAAACCTCAGCTTCTTTCGTGGTATCAGAGCAGGTTTGCCCACATGTGAAACTTAAGGGATACACGTGCTCTATGTCACTCAATATGTTTTGCTCACGTGTTAGACTTGAAAATTTGTCACACGTACGGAGGCGTGTGAGATGTGAGATGTGAGAATGTGAATAAATATCTCGTATTAGAAAGTTGAGAAACCTAATAACTACTTATAAACAGTTAAACTACTCACTCATTACCAACTAATTTTAGAGTGGAGCCTCAATTCCCTTCAAAATATTGCATAAGCTTTATAGCCGTTTATGCTTTGTTTTAGACTTTTTTTTACTGAAAATAAAAGTTAAAAGCCAGAATAAAAAGGGTATAAATTATAAATATTTGATTAGAGTTTTGGACTTTAGCTTTAGCAAAGTGGCATGAGACTAAAGACAACAGGGAGCGGCAATGGGTCATTTGGTTGCGCTCCGGTGGGGTAAGGGAATGGGTCTACGGCTAGCTCAAACACAGCTCCTTCTCGATTGTCCACTTGCTTCTGGCCGGCCTTTCTCACAACCATTAATTCTCATGTCTGAAATATTTTACCAATTATTAGTCTATCATGTAATTTATTACACAGTAATATATATTATAGTCAATCGCTTAATATGAATTAATGCATTCAAATAAAAATTCACTTAATAAATCATTTGGATTGATCATTAGTGAATGCGCATGTGTACCAGATTGTCTTAATATTGATGTTAAATTTCTCCGTAATTGTAATGGCCTTTGGCCTTTGTTAATGTTAGATTTCTCTGTAATTATAACGGCGCTTGCAACAATATTTAAGACCTTGCAGGCGTAGTATCATAAAGTAGTATTTTTAGGCCTTGTGCAAAGATTAACCAAACAAAATATTAGTCAAGATGGAAGACATGACTTGCCTGGAAAAAGTTTCAAAATGTAATATTTAATTGATGCTAAGAGATCATCATTTCTGTTATTTAGTGTTAATACACGCCAAAATGCATGGGTATTAGTAAATGCATTAATTAATTATTATTATTAATAAAAAAATGAATTAAATAGCGAAATCATAAATTTAAAAAATCATTAAAAAAATTATGTTTTAGTAGATGCACAAGAATTTGTATGCTTTCGGCTTGTTATTCTCAAGTATATGCCATGGAAAGTAATACTTCTCAATTATGAAAGTTGAAACCTATAGCTTCTATTTCTCATGCCACACAAGTTTTTTTCTCTTGGTATTTCAATTAACTTTTAATTTAATGGTATTTTTCTTCCTAATATTGGAAACACAAAAAACCTGCAAAGAAGCAAAACAAGTCAAATGAACTTGTTTACAAAGAGTGGTTCAATGTTAAAATGATGAATATAAGACGTGATTAAATTCAAATCCTCACGAAAACAAAATTCTTCAAGTTTATATGATATGTATGATTTACGGATAATTTTATGTATAAGAGTTTAATCAATATCTTATGTGTTTTTGATTTTGTAGTTTTAGTAACTATTACTAATCACTAATTCAAATTCTTTATCAAACCTTAATCAGTGAAAGTGACTGGACACCAATGGATTTGGAACATGATAATGTTAATCCATTTAATTGTTATGTACAAAAGTTTTGTAAAAGTGTGACAAGACCAACCACCCCATGCACCAGCTTCTTTAAACTAGTTATTTCCTAATCTCCATTAACTTCCCTTTAAACTTTGAGACAGCTGTACCTACGTCCAATATATCAAATACAAAAGAGACTGTTCTTCCCTTACCCTATCAAATACAAAAGCTGACTGTTCTTCCCCTACCTTACCAGACTGCCCCTTTGTCTTAAAGGATTGTCTGGCAGTTTGAGTCATCAATTTATTAGCATCAGTCGATTACGCGTACGTCTATTAAATCTGACTATTGATATAATGTGACCGAGCGACCGTACAATTCATCCAGCTCCGCATCACAGAACATACATCCACTGTATAGCTTTAAAGCAGTTACAAATTTGACAAATTGATTAGGACCATATAGATTAGGAAAGCTACAAGTAATAGGTAGCCTTTTGTTATATTGCATAGAGACTGACTGATCGAGTAAGACCAAATTGAATTAGGGCTCCATTAAATTAAATGTCATCCCAGGACATAGGGTATGGAACATAGTCACTCAATTAATTAGGAGTCAATCTTGAATATATATATATATATATATATGTGGATTTGTTTATATGTTCATGGCGTGAAACAAGATGTCTTTGAATAACGATGAATCAAATCGGCCCCGCTTGTTATTAAAGAAAAGGATGTGCACTAGGAAACGGAAGAAAAAATACATCAGGGTATAATAATATTATTGAACTAGTTTGGATTTAAAACATGCTGCTGATATAATGACTAATAATATTTTATATAAAAAATAAATTAATATGAAATGAACCAGAGTCCAAGTAAAAGGAAATGAGGAAGGTTGCTTGCTGTTAAAGAAAGCTAATACCAGTTTTCAAAATTATAATAAATTGTTTGGTCAAAATTTGTTGGGATACTCTAGGTTTTAACCCCAAGCCCCAAGGGAATCATAGGTGGGGAAAGTCTACCCGGTTACTCTATATTTTGACTCTATCTGTATAGCCCCAAGCTTCAATTAATTATTTTTATATTTATTAATGGAGAGTGATATTTGAATTTAGGACATCTGTCGATATTGAAAAAATATATATTACAAAATTTTAGTTAATAACAAACTAAATTAACGAGGACGCAAAAGTTTTTTGTTTAATGGTTAATTGGTCAAGGGAGGAGGCGGAAAAAAGAAGTTACATTGCAATCTATTAAGAGAAGTTCTCAAGTGGAACGGCCCGTCACCTGTGCGACCACTCGTGCAGTATATAATTACCCTTCATTGGGTTGGAACAAGCATGGTACCCCAAGACAGATAGGGATGTTTTCTTGTGCAGGGCGAAACACACCAGCGTTCAGATAGGGATGTTTTCCCGCCAACCAAGGAACTATAAAAATGTTGGTACCTTTTTCCACCAAATTATCCCTGCAGGGGCCGTTCTGCAATAAATAAAGAAAGTGATGCTTTACTGGTCTTCACAAGTTGGGGTAAATAAAGTTTTGGTTTCTGTGTGTGGTGTGGGTGGGATTAAAAACAGAATCATTACTTTACTCACATTATTCGTTTTTTCAACTAGAGAAGAGAATCTGAAATGAAACTGTTGGGGAGCGGTGGGATCTTTCCAAGGATCCCAAAAAGTCATCAAAATCTGGCAGAAAAAAATGACATTTTATGCATTAAGTTGGTAACATGCAACTAGTGACGGATTCATGAATTTTTTTTAAGAGATACACAATAAAAAAATATATCTAAAAAAGGGGGTTTGGTGTTATAAAAAAAAAAAAAAAAAAAAAAAAAAAAAAAAAAAAAAAAAAAAAACACACATGAGGGGGTCTTTGGTCTGCGACTAAAATTCATATCAAATCATCAATTAATCTAACAAAAATTAATATCAATTAATCTAATCAAATACATATCAGATTATCAATTAGACAAACAAATCATGATCATACATCAAGTCATGCACTGCACAACCTCTTCCTTCTCAAGTTTGCTATTGATCATATGAATATAGAGATAGCCAATTTTTTTTTTTAAAAAAACATATTTTAAATAATAAAAAGAAAAAAGAAGAAACAAACGAAGTGGTTGTTTAAGATTTCAAAAACAAACCTTAAGCCCCGTTTGATTCATGGGAAAAGACGCTTGGGGATGAGAAATCAATTACTTTTCCATATTTGGTAAGTCCGGGAAATGGTTGCCTAGCACATGAGAAAATAGGGGGGGAAATGAAGTCATCCTCCTACCTTGGGTTTTGTTTTCCCTCATCGAAGAAAAATTTGGAAAAATGAGCCAATATTAAATGCACATTTTTCATGACCATTTTGTCCTCATTAACAATTTAGAATTACAATATAGCATTAAATGCATTCTTTTTTTTATTTGTTTTCATATGAGTATAATTAGAAAATTAAACAAACTTTGTTTTATATTTCTATGCAAATCAAATAGGTGAAAGGAAATAAAGTGGTATTTCCTGATTACTTTCCTAGCATTACCAAACATGGGAAAATAATCTTTAGTTTCTCATCCCTTAGAAAAGATATGGGGAATTATTTTTCTATCAATTTTTTTTTGCGAACCAAACCGGGCTTAAGGCTTGACTCACTCACTCTCATAGGCTCTCATCATTATAGTTAACAATATCAAATCAAGGCTTGGGTTGGGCTTCTTTCTTCAACGCAAAGTCGTGCTACGCTATGCTTTGTTTCAACACAATGCAAGCCTTGGATTGGACGGTAAGGCAAGGCTCCTTTGTATTAGGTTTCCTCTTTTTGTTTTTATCTTTTTTGGTTTTTTGTTTGGACCAAAACAATGTCGTTTTGACCAAATTTTTTTATAAAAAATATAGGCGAGCACAAAAGAAAATAACTCAACCTCTTTGAGGCATTTTCATAAACAGTTGGTGGGTATCAGTAGAGGGGCAACTTTCGGCACCTTCAAAGTTTTTTTCGGTGAGGGAAGATGCACCTTCTTGTGCCTATATCGGTTCGTCACTGCATGTGATTGTAATTGCAAATCTCTTCAAAAAAGAAAAAGTTTGACACACATATGTCAAACTGTTATTTGCATGCAATGAAAAACGACTTCTACTACCAAATGAAAAGCAAAGTATTTCTCCAAAGTTTGTTTATGCTTTTGTATTTGGACATACACCAATTTAAGAACAAATTTAAAAAAAAAATAAGATTAGTGGTATTTATTTAACTTTGGAGCTGGTGAATAGCTCCTCCAACATGGATCACTGGTCCCCAAAAGTATTTTGGAAGATGGGAGGGTCCAAGTCTTAACTGCTTTTTTCCAGTTCTCCATGTGCGCATGCAAGTTAAAGGACTTGGTTAAGGGAATAGTTGCTGTCTTCGATCCTGATAATTAATCATGGGGGTGTGAGAAAGGAGTCAAGGACTGGTTTTCGATCTTATCCATTGATAATACCTAAATATATTGATACTTGTTTTTATAACCTACATTAAATCTTCTAGTATATGCTTGAGGTTTGTAATATGAACATAACTGGAAGGTGGCCCCAGTAAACTAAAATCCTGGTTCTGCCTCTAATTATATTGTAGCATGTAAATGTTTCCTTATAAATTGGATTCAGTATATAGAAATATAAAATGCTTATTTTACATTTGATTAGGTTACAACTTACAACTATGCTAACATAGAGCTTTACTCATCAACTAATCTTTGATATAGCGGTATTCGTCTCCACTTTAATTGGATGAGCTCGCATATTTAACTCACACGATGATGATATATATTTGATATAGTGGTAGTATTATCTCTACTTCATTGTAAGAAGATAGTTGTCGTATTTTATCATCTATAATAATTAAGAAATCTTAAATCCAAACAAATAATAAAGAGAGCTGTTATTGGCACTTGAAAAAGTTATCGCACACTCCTCCTTTTTCTTTCTAAATACATAGGGAATGAGTACAAGTTGTCTTTTTTAGTGTCAATAACAATTTTCATAATAAATAATAATTATAATATGAACGATTTCCAAATATGTCCTGTATAAAGCCTTTTGTTGGATCCTATAAGGAGCACCAAAATAGCCATGGAAGTGGTTCACTAACCTTAACCAAGACGGGTTTAGGCAAACTGATTACTTTATTGATTTATTCTGAACAACTTCTGGAAATATACACTCAGTTATAATAAATATTTATTAGGTAATTTTGTTGAACATCTAGCTAATCCACTACACATAGAAAAAGCAGAAACAGCCCAAATCAGGGAAAACTAAGCCCAAAGAAAAACTAAATGGCACCAAACACCACAGCCCAAAATACAAAATCGATCCATACAGAAACTCCCACTTCCCAAATTAGAGATCTTAAAAGGATCATTGGCTTATTAGCCTAAGAAGACAATCTCCAACCCAATAGGTTAAAAGTTATATTTAAAGTTTTTAGCCTGGAATTCACCTCCAAGTTCCAATCCATGTATTTCATTGGGCTAGAAAAGGTTCATAAAGAAACTCAGAGGGACTTGTTTGGCTAATAGCAAGGGTGCTGAGGTGTCAAGACAGTTGCTTTTATCATGGGTGTTAGTTTGTATTAGTTGTTGTAATAGTCATGTGTATCTCTCTGTTAGTTAAGAAGAGCTAGCTTAATTACTAAGCAAAGTTCAAAGTATAAATGGCTATGGGGTACTATAATATTTAGGAATTACAAACAAACTTTCAGATAATATTCTCATTTTCTCTCTCTGATTTCTTGATTCTTCTTCTTCTTCTCAATTCTTCCTCATTTGTTAGCGTGGTATCAGAGCCAGGTTAGCCCACATGTGAAAGCCCAACGGCCACACATGCTCCACGTCACCCAATATGTGTTGTCCACGTGTTAGGCTTAAAATTCGCCACACGTGCGGGGGCGTTTGAGAATGTGAAGATGAAATGTCCTACATTTGAAAGTTGAGAAATCTTGCAAGAGCTTATAAGGAGTTGGGCTACTCTCCCCATTGCCAATTGATTTTAGGGTGGAACCTCAACTTTCTTCATGGTATCAGAGCCCTGCGTGGCTCGTACCCTCTGATCCTGATGTGCTTCCTCTATGTTCAACTTTGATTTCCTATTCTCTTTCCTTCCTCTTCTTCAATTTCACGTCTTCTTCTTTGATTAATTTCGTCAATTTCCTTATCAATTCTTATTCGTCGAATCAATTTTGTCGATTTCACGCTCAATTTCCTTAATCATTTCATGTCTTTTTCTTCGATTCCAGAACTTTCATCTTTCTTTTGTGATTGTTCGAAAAATTCCTATTTTTCTGCATCAATGACGGCTTCATCTCTCAAAATTAAAGGATTGCTAGGAATGGTTACTCTGTGCCAGAAAGATAATAATTTCTTAAAATGGCAGTATCAGATTGAATTTTTCCTAGAAGGTTATGGTCTTTTCGGCCACTTCGATGGATCTACCATTGCTCCCCAAAAATTTGTTGTTTTGGATGAAGAAGGAGTCACCTCATAGGTTACTGCGGGGTATAAGGAGTGGCTTTGGACTGATAAAGCATTAATGAGCTTTGTGATTGCAACACTCTCGGACGACACGATTGAATATGTTAGCGGTAGTAAAACGACTCGTGATGCTTGGTTAAGCCTCTCCAATCCCTATGCCATGATGTCTCATGCTCAGATTAGTCATCTCAAGACTAAGTTGCAGAAGGCTAAAAAAGGTGGTGATTCCATAAACAAATTTCTTTTGTGTCTCAAACATATCAAGGATCAATTGTCCGTTGCTGGTATTTCGATTTCGAATGATGATCTCATGATCATAGCCCTCAATGGATTACCTTCCGAGTATGATATGATCAAGACAGTTCTCATCGCTCTAGATACTTCCATTTCGTTCAAAGAGTTTCATACTCAGCTTTTAATTGCTGAATAATCTGCCGAATCACGCATTTCAACTCTTCATACTCCTAAGGTGGCCATGATTGGTCATACTTCTTCTGGCTCTCTCAATACAAGCACTGGTATTCTTTGCACTCCCTCGACTGTTCCTGTATCTCATTCTGGTTTTCATGCCAATGCTCGGCCCTCTGGTTTTATGTCTACTTCTTTCGGTAAAGGACGGTTTTCTGGTAATCGATCTTTTCCTCCTTGTGGAGGTTTTCAAGGCTACCAACCTTCTCATGTTGGTGGCAGTTTTCAAGGCTACAGACCGTCTTAGGGTGGTTTCCCAAAGACTGGTGCTGTGCCAGAATGCCAAATTTGTAATAAACGTGGACACACTGCTGTCAACTGCTAATATAGGAATGTTTCTCCTCAGCACTCAACCTCATTGTCTGTTATTGAGTGTCAAATATGTGGGAAATGTGGTCATGGTGCTTTGGATTGCTTTCATCGCTCAAACTACGTGTATCAAGGTTCCTCTCCTCTTGAGTCTCTCATTGCAATGATAGCTCAGACCTCATTTTCTTCTGAGACATTCTGGATAGCGAATAGTGGTGCCAGTCATCACATGGTGCCCACTGTGGATCAATTGGATTCTGTAACTTCATATACTTCTGTAGATCAAGTTACTATTGGCAATGGGGCAGGTTTGCAGATTGCTCACATTAGCCATACCAATCTTTCTAGTGGCACTTCTAAACTAAATTTACATAATGTTTTCCATGTTCCCCAGCTTACTACTAAGCTTCTGTCAGTACATCAGCTTTGTTAGGATAATAACTGTTCTGTCCTTTTTGATCAGTTTGGTTTCTATATACAAAACAAAGCAACAAACTAAGTTCTTCTCAGGGGCAGGAGCAATAAAGGCATATATCCTATACCTGGTGCCGTTCCTCCAGTCAATTCTTCTACTCTAGTTAATGGTTCCTTTTCTCTAGCTATTGCGTATGTGGGCCAGCAAATCAAATCATTTGTGTGGCATAGTAGGTTAGGGCTTCTTACTAATGAGGTAGTTCATACTATGCTTAAAACCTATCAATTACTAGTTCCTGTAGATGCTCATCAGCATATTTGCCCTTCCTGTCTAAGTGGTAAAATGCACACCTTACCCTTTCCATTTACTCATGTTAAGTCTTTAGTGCAATTTCAAAGAATCCATAGTGATTTTTGGGGACCCTCTCCATGTAAATCCTATGATGGATATTGATGAGTTTACTGGATACTCTTGGATATTTCCATTGTTCAATAAATCTGAGATCTTCTCAAAGTTTCTTCAGTTTTTTCCATTTCTTAAGAATCAATTTTCTGTATCTATTAAGTGTCTTCAAACTGATGGGGATGAGAGCTTATGAGCAAGCAGTTTACAGATTTCTTATTGAATAATGGTATTGAACATCAAATCTCATGTCCTTATTCTCCTCAGCAGAATGGCATTGCTGAGAGAAAAAAAAAATAGACATTTGATTGAGACGTCTGTAACCCTGTTAACTGCAGCTTCTTTGCCTGAGATTTTTTAGTTTCATGCTATGGCACATTCTATCTATCTTATTAACAGAATGCCTAGTAGAATGTTGGCAGATGAATCTCCGTATTTTAAATTGTTTCATAAACTTCCAAAAATTGAGCATCCCAAAATATTTGGTTCGGTTATGTATCCATGTATGAGGCCCTTCACTAAGCATAAGCTTCAGCCTCGCTCTTCCTTATGTGTGTTCTTAGGATATGTGTTGGGCTATAAGGGTGTCTTGTGTTATCATATGGAAAATCACAAGATTCTTATTTCTAGGAATGTTATCCATGATGAAAGTTTATATCATTTTAAAGGTCATAAGGTGTCTTCCCCTCAGGACACTTCTTCAATTTCCTGTATGCCTATCAGTGTTCCTTCAAGTGTAGTTTTCCCCACCTATCATACAGATCCTCCACCACATATTGTATCTTTCGTCTCACCATCTAGAGCGGAGTTTTCTTATTCTCATGCCTCTAAAACTTCTACACCTGCAGTTCCTACTTTGCCAGTTTTATGTGAAGCTCAGTTGGAAACTTTACTCCCTTATATTCCATCATCTAGTTCTTCTGAGGTTGTTCTCGACTTAGATAGTTCCTCCAGCTCTACTACTTCAACTCATGCTAATGATCATCCTATGCAAACTCGAGCGAAGTCTGAAATTAGCAAACACAAGGATTTCTCAGATTATCATTGTTTTAGTTCGACTTTTCTGCCTCCTTCTGAACTAGATGAACCTGCCAGTTATAAGATTGCCGCTTACTCCTCAGAATGGACGAAAGCCATGCAAGAGGAGATTGCAGCTTTACATATGTAAGGCACATGGGTTTTAGTTCCACCTCATTTGCATAAAAATGTGGTTGGTAGTAAATGGATCTACAAGATCAAACGAAATTTTGATGGCACCATTTCCAAATATAAAGCAAGGCTAGTGACTCAAGGTTTTAGCTAGGCACATGGTTTTGATTACTCTAAGACTTTTAGTCCAATAGTTAGGCACACCATTATTAGAATTATTCTTAATTTGGCTACAATGCATGGTTGGAAACTCAACCAATTAGATTTAAGAATGCTTTTTTACATGGTGATCTTGATGAAGAGGTCTACATGAAGCAACCACAGGGGATTGAAGATCCTCAACATCCAAATTTTGTGTGTCGCCTAAAGAAATTGTTATATTGCTTGAAACAAGCCCCGAGGGCATGGAACTCAAAGTTCACTGGATACTTACCTTCTCTAGGTTTCAAAGTCTCTCAATCTGATCCCAGTTTATTTGTCAAGTATTATGGTTTAGATGTTGTCATCTTACTTCTTTATGTAGATGATATCATTTTAACAGGTTCTAATATGAGCCTCATTAAAGAAGTCATTATTGATATTGGTTTTGTTTTTGAGTTGAAAGATATGGGGCAACTATCCTATTTCTTGGGGCTATAGATTTCGTATCAGAGTAATAGGGGTATTTTTGTACATCAGTCAAAGTATGCAAAGGATTTGCTAGTAAAGGCTGGTATGAGTACTTGTAAAGCATATTCTACTCCAAGTAAATCACATACTCATATTTTGAAGACTGAAGGAGAACCCTTAAAGGATCCCACTTTGTATCGTAGTGTTGTTTGTACACTATAGTACCTTCATTTACAAGGCCAGATTTAGCATATGTTGTCAATATAGTGTGTCAATATATGACCACACCAACTTATGCTCATTTCTATCTTGTTAAGAGGATCTTGAGGTATATAAAAGGGACATTACAATTTGGTATTCTTTATTCACCTGGTCATATTTCTATCAGTGCCTACAGTAGGCAAGAGATATCTCAACTTGCAGGTATACTACTGGTTATGTAGTCTTTCTTGGTCCTAATCCAATTTCTTGGCAGTCACAGAAACAAGGATCCGTTTCTCATAGTTCTACATCAGTAAAGTATCGAGCTCTCGTTAACACTTCTGTTGATATTGTCTGGATAAGACAAGTGCTAGCAGATCTTCATGAATTTCTTCTTGAGCCTCCAATGATTCATTGTGACAACATGTCTGCCTTAGCCCTTTGTTCTAATCTAGTCTTTCACTCGCGTATTAAGCACCACGATATTGATTACCATTTTGTGAGAGAAAGGGTTCAACGCAAAGATATCTTAGTGCAATGCATTCAAACAAATAAGCAAGTTGCAGATGTATTTACAAAAGGACTTCGTGCACCTGTGTTCTCACAACACTGTATCAATCTCAGACTGGGAAATCCAAATTGAGCTTGAGGAGGGATGTTTGGCTAATATGAAGGGTGCTGAGGTGCCAAGACGGTTGAGTTAATCATGGGTGTTAGTTTGTATTAGTTGTTGTAAAAGTCAAGTGTATCTCTCTGTTAGTTAGGACAAGCTAGCTTAATTACTAAGCAAAGCTTAAAGTATAAATGGCTTTAGGGTATTGTAATATTCAGGAATTACAAACAAACCTTCAGATAATATTCTCATTTTCTCTCTATGATTTCTCGATTCTTCTTTTTCTTCTTTTCAATTCTTCCTCATTCGTTAGCAGGACCGACGAGCGAGAGTAGGGGCAAAACCGCAACATACTCATTTGGTCAAACAAGATCTTTAACTCCTAAAACCTTATAGCCCAATCTCATATGTTAACCATTGTGTCATGGGGAACACGAATGAGGAGTTAGTGGAGAACTCAGTAACTATGGGATATATTGATGTAGGGATGTGACAAAGGGTTTGTGATTGAGGGCAAATAAAAGTGGATAGGCTAAGCCGCAAGAGGACAAGAGGAAAAAAGCCAGGAGAGGAATAAGAGGGAGGAGTATGTGTTGAAGGAGCACAATGAGAACGATGGTCTAGAAGAAGCAAGAACGGGAGAGGTGGATAGGTGAAGTAGAGGCAGAAGATAGGAGATAAACATGGTCGATTGAGAGAAGGACAAAGGGATGAACCACCACAAAGAATCGATTGTTTGGGGTGGTCAGTTCTCCATTATTGGGTTATGCAATAACAGTGAAGTGTTTTTGGACTTAGCAATCTTAGTTGTGCCTAATAGTACAACACTTTTGCACTCGACAATCTCAGTTGTGGAGTAACAACGAAGTGCTTATGCACTTGGCTTCTTTCTACAGTTTCTCAAAAGTGATACCTATATCCACCCTAGCACCCTGTATTTAGATGTCAAAAGTTGCCATGCTTCATCTTACAAAGATCCATAAACTCATTTTCCGATGTAATACAAAAGTATCCCATATGAAGTGCTCTTGAGCCATCGAAGGGTTTGCACTACTTGTTTACCACAATGTTGCCACTATAGGCTTGCTCATAAAAAAAATAAATAATAAATTGTTGCCACTTTGACACTAACTAAAGTTACGATATTAATATTGAAAATTCCCAAACTGGCTAACAAAGAGTGACTATGACTTCTAAGAAGTACCAAATTCAGCTAACAATTTCTTAAGATTATAGTATCTCTAAGGAGCTATAGGTAGTGATCCAATAGTAAAACTAGATAATTCAATACAATCTTTTTGCCTCCAAAGAAGTCATAACATTATTCTAATTTATCTCAAACTAGCCTATCTCAAAATCTCAACATTAGCTAAACTTCAAAAACTCTTAGCAAACAATCAACTCCAACAAAACTCCAATGTGAATTTATCTAGAGAAACATTATTTAGTTAGAATTTTGGTTACTTATCCGTTTATTTAGTCCTATTGTAATTGGGATTAATTTTTAATTTTATCTCTTCTAGGATTAACACATGTTTGTACTTCTTTATAAATACCTCCATATTGAAGAAGAATACATATATGAAAATTCTCATATACTTTATTTAGCAAATCGTAATATCAAGTTCTTTTTTATTATTTTATTATTTTTTATTTTTAACCAAGACAAAGTCTAACATATTAGAATCGAATCGTATTGTAATAGTTTGGTTCGACTGCAGTTTCGAGCTTTTGCGAATTGATCTAAACTGAATCGGAATGTCTACTTGTATATTTATATTTCTTTTATGTTATATTACATGTGTAATCCTCTCATTAGATAATAACTAGATAAAGATGTTGAATTTGAAGTTTGATTGATCAAACTTTAAAGTTATTCTTTGACTATATTAATTTTTTTGTTGTTGGATAAATATGTTAGTTATTTAACTTTTAAATTTTATGGCATGTTGAATTTTACGATAGTTAGCCCTAATGTAACACCCCATTAAGTAGTTTATTTAATTATTTAATTGCGAAATTACATTTTTGCCATTGGGGTAGGGGCACTTTAGTCACTTCTTATTTATAAAGGAATTTGGGTAATTGAGCAATACCGTTACGTAAAGCTCATCGATACGAGTTCGTAAATAGGCGGCATGCTCAATTCCAATTTGAAACGAAGAAGTTATGATCTACGAAAGTATAGTGGTATAATCGTAATGTTGGAGAAGTCAAAATTAAATACCCAGGGTCAGCCTTCCACATCATTTCTCTCTCTCCCCTTCACTTGAGAGGTACAATACCAGCAATTGCTATAGTATCCTGCGTTCTATAGTAACTTCCACCTTTTCGTCGATCGTTCGTCGTCGTCTTGCCACAGCTGCCGATGCCGTTAGTACCAAAAATCGTTTCTTGGCCACCACCTGCCATCACTTGGCTACCAAAAGCTTCCCCAAGCTTCCCTCGACCTCTCCCACCCATGACCCGACTGGATTCGTCATTGGAAAAGCCGCATCAACGATGTGAAATCTTTAGGTTTTCTGGCAAGAAAACCCCCATTTCTAGCCACTTCCCTACCAAATTAGAGGTCGATGCAAGTATACAGTCTCCGCGTACTCCACATGAGGGACCTTTCTAGAGGTTAGGCAGCGTTGGACTTATTGTGAGTGAACATTTGTTTTCAATGAGCACTATTTTCATATGTTGAACGCATACATAAATATTGTTTTGAATGAATTTGGTTTATATTGGTTCTTTGGGATTATGGAATTGCTTGCATAATTATGAATTATTTGGAAATTGGTTATTTGGGTTTAATAAGGTTATGGAATATATTATCGGATTGGTTTCGGCTTTTATAATGTGATATGGGAATTTTGGAGATTATTAATTATAAAGGATATGGATTTTGGGTTTTGGATTATGGTGATATTGGGTTTGTTTATGAAATATGAATATGGGGTTTTAGTTTATATGGATATATGTGTGGATTTATTTTCAGGTTGAGGTTTCTTGAGCATGTGCATTGAGAGTACTATGTACATGTATGAGCTTTTTAAATGAATTTTGGATTGGACATTTGGATTCTTGTAAGAATACTTGGCTATTTTATGTTCTTGGCAAGCATGCGCCTTAGTAAGGGCATGGTTGAGGGTGGATTTACTTTGAAGGTGCTGATTTTACTGTTTTCAATATGGCATAAGTGAACGGGTTGAAATGTTTTCCAAGAAATTGGGAAGTATTAATTATTTGGTTTTCCTTATCGTATGCTATGATATTAATATACTGAATTGAAATATTTTCAAGTATTAGATAGTATTTATGTACGTATACAAAAGGATTATGTTGAATGGTGTTTTGGCATTATTTTCTAAAATGGATGGGGTTATTATGTTGAATATAAATTATGTTCCAACTTTATTTTCGTCCACTCATATTTCTATGTTTTGCATCCCCAGGTTCTAGATATTCGAGGTCGAGACCACCACGTCGAGGAATCGCGATTGTTCGCACCATAGGAACTTTCTTTTATCATTCTCTACATTATGTTACCCCATGTTGTAATTATAATCATTACTCGCTTTGATTTGCTTGATTTAAGTTTGGGTAGTGAGCCTGAGGGTCTATTTGAATTGTCTTAATTGTCGTGTGTGCCTTTAACTTGTGTATGCTGAAAGTTGGGATTATTTATGTATTTGTTTACATGTGTTTGAAATTTGGGAATTGTTCCAATTACAATGGAGGCCCTTCCGAAATTTCGACAGGAGTCGAAGTCTTAAGTAGTTTAGATTAATGAATTAGGGCGTTTTAGTAAAGTAGGTCCAACATTGGTAAGATGTTGGACAGGCACAAGGTTCGTCACGGATTCCAAGGGGGAATCTGGAGCGGGTCCTGTCACCTAAACCGTTCGAACCAAACTGTGTAAAATTAATTAGATTTGGTTTCCTTAGTGAGTTTTGTCAAAACCAAACCGTTCTATTGTAGTTTGATGTAAAACCGATTCAATCCAACTTTGGCCCACCCATACCAATAACTATTACAAACAACATTACAAAATTACACAACAATAATAGTGTTGTCAGAATCACTCTCAAATAAGTCCTAAATGTAGTGTTGAGATTTGATTAAGTAACTTTTTGTTTTTGAATTTATCGCAAGAATCACTTCCAAATGAACCCTAAATGTAGTATTGAGATTTGATTAAGTAATTTTTTGTTTTTTGAATTTATTGGTACTTTATTTAGGCTTAAATGTTAAAATGGTCCCTGTGTTTTACACATTTGGCAAATTTAATCCCTGTGTTTTCAATTTGGTTAATTTAGTCCCCGTGTTTTACTCTGTTAGCCAATGTCGTCCATTATGTTAAATTACCTTTAAAAAAATTCATTAAATTTTTAATAATTAATATTAAAAAAATTGTTAAGTTCAGTTTATAATATTAATACAAATAACAAAATAAGAAAATAAATAAGAAATTTTGGAAAACCAACAGACTGTGTCCTCCTCTCATGCTGCTGCCGCCTCCCAACCCAACACCACAACCATCAGTTGCCTGCCAATACTGATGTTGAATCTTTATTTCACTCATATTTTGTGGGGGTGGGTGGGATGGAAAAAGGGAGAGATGGAGGTGTTGTGGGGAGGGAAGGAAGGGCTCGGGCTAAGTTTCTTTATCCCTCTAAGGGTTTGTTGGTTCGTAAATTTGTGCCCCTCACTTGGGCTAGGGCCCGATTCTTTGATGGCTCCAAGAGATAACCCATCAAGGAAACCTCCAATTATTGTACTCATGATATTGAAAGGTGAGGCACTTTACTGCAATGAATGTGGAGCAGAGCAAAAGAATCATCGAAAAGAAACTGAAGAACTTGGTTGCCATGTTGGGATTCGACAATTGAAAAACATAGAGAGAGAGAGAGAGAGAGTAGGGTGGTGGCTGGGACTCCTCATGGTGGTTGTGGTGGCATGAGAACATAGAGGCTGTCGGGTTTCCAGATTGTTTTTTTAACATTTTGTTATTTTAATTCATATTTGTTTGCTTTGTAAATAGAACTTAATAATTTTTAAAATTTTAAATGAATTTTTTAACGGCAATTTAACGAAATGGACAACATTGGCTAATGGAGTAAAACACAGGGACTAAATTGGTCAAATTAAAAACACAATGACTAAATTTGCCAATTGACTAAAACACAAGGACCATTTTAACATTTAAGCCCTTTATTTATTTATTTAAGTTTTTGGGGGTCTTAACTCTGAATCCAAACACTCAGACTGGAATCAACTCACTTCGACCTGATAAAAGCATCCTCTGCTTCAAAAATCATGAAACCCCCCATTTACTCTCTGATTGACTATGGGGGACCGAGAGCGAGACAGGGACCGGGACCGCGACCGAAACCGTGACAGAGATCGAGACAGAGAAAGACGCCGGGACAGAGACGACCGTGATCGTGATCGGGAACGGGACCGGGACCGGGACCGCGTCCGCAGCAAGAGGTCGCGTACACCGGAGCGCATCAGACCACGCCACACCCGCTCCCGCACGCGCTCGCCGGACCGGTACCGCTCACGCACTCGCTCAGTCTCCCGCTCTCGCTCTCCGGACGACCGGTCCCACCGTCGGCGCCACCACCACAACCGTAGCCCATCTGCGGAGGCACGCAAGCGGCAGAAGCGCGAGCCGACCGCCGAGGACGAGAGGGAGAGGCAGAAGGCGGCGGTGGCTGACTTCGTCGAGGGCATCGCGAAGGAGCAGAAAACTCAGCAGAAGCAGAGCAGCGATGGCGGTGGTGACGAAGGCCTGGACGAGGACGAGATTGAGATGATGAAGAAATTTGGGATTCCGACTGGATTTGACTCGACGAAAGGGAAGCCCGTGCCTGGCGCCGATGTGAGCGGCATTAGGGCGGTCACTAAGCGGCAGCCGAGACAGTATATGAATCGCCGCGGTGGATTTAATCGGCCTTTGCCTGCTGAACGTAATCGCTAGATTACTGGTTAGGGTTTATAATCCCTTTGGCTTTTGGAATGTGCTTATTTTTCTGTTTAAGTTTACTAAATAAGTTGGATAGTGTTGGTATATTTTACGGTTTATAATCCCCTTGTTTGCTCTTTGATTTAGGGTTTTGGAATGTGCTTACTTTGCTGTTTTGAGTTTACAAACTAAGTTGGATATTGTTGAGTGTGGTATATGCCAGTTTATGCTTTCTTTTGTTCTTGTTTGTGGTAATTAAAATGACAATATTTATATTTCAAGTTTTTATTTTTATTTTCATGGTGCAATTGACCTAAGTTATTCATCAACAAATCCATGTTATTGTCTACTGTTCCCATTTAGTAGGTTATAGCCTTCTAGGGTAGGTTAGTCTTGTTCCTAGTATTCAGATGGTGATTTGTTCTGCTTGAGAAATGCATTGGTGTTATGACATTGTGGGATAAACTCAGGTAGCTAGTTAATTCGCATGGTGATAATTGTTTCTAGTTGAATGTTGACATATGGTTATCTTGTGTGGTAGTACTCGCTAGTTTCTAATCTAAAAAACTTGAAGATGTAGAGTATATGTGAAGTTTGGTGCAGACGATAGCAAGAGCCTTTAACTTTTGAAGTTGGGTTCTGATTTGATTTTGTTAATGCAACATTGTTCATATGTTCTGGAATTGCCTAATTTCGTTAATGCGTAGTTCTATTTCTCTTCTCATTTATCTTAATCTGACAAGCTTTTAAATTACTTGTATTTAAGATGATGGCTTCTGTTCTGTTAGTTTGCATGGCATTTTCTGTGGAAGTCATCTGCAATTTTTCAAGGTTTTTTAGGATGCTTACCTGACTTTCTCATAAAAGGGATTTGTTTCTCTGTCTCCCTTAATTAAGTCATTCTCATAAACCATGGATCATGTTAGATTCAGTGTCAAAAAAATGATCATTACACGTGAAGTAGAAGTACAATTTGACATGAGTGAACATTTGTGTCTTGTTGTCATGTGTGAATTAACTTTTAACATATTTTTCTCATCATAATTTTTTGGTGCTTCAAATTGAATTTTATGTTTCACATCATTTTTATTGTACTCTCTGGTCAAGCTTTTCTTGCTTCTTGGTTAGGGCTGAAATGCTTCGATTTGTGATTTCATTGTAAATAAAATGTGAGCGATTGGGGATGAATACAACAAACATGTTTTCACAGCGTTTCTCAAAGTGTTGTAGTGAGGCAATGGAACTGGAAAGGTGTTGCATGTGTTGTCTGTTTAGCAAAATGGTATGTTACCTGGTTAAATTGTGTAAAGAATTAAGTTGATGTCCTCTAGATTGTTTAAACATAGGTTTGTGCTTCATATGAGCCTCCCGTTTCCGATTTTGAATTTTTGTTACATAGATGTGAAATTATGACATTTCTTCATTATCTTTCTCAGTGATTCAATTCTTTGACTTTCCTGATTTAGAGATGTTAGAATTTGTCTTTATTACGCGATGACTTAAATCTGTGAAAGATGCGAGATGATATGTTGGTGTATTCTGGGGATTAATTTAGTGGTTTTTTGCATGTGTAGCTTAAGCATGACATAAAATGGGCTGCTTGGAGGATTCTTCAAAATGCATTTTTCTTTTACACTTGGCCTTTGGTTTTATCTCACCTTTTTATCATTTAATATGACCAGAAAACCTTGCGTTTGAGTTGTGTACATGACAGGGATGATAAATTATTAGTATTACATTGAAAGTTTTCTTTGTTGTAGTTTCGTTTATCTCTAATTATCAGGTTCTTTTACATGCAGACGAGGGCCTTCCAGCATGAGTTGAACCATGTGGAGAGACTTGGATACTTGAAAGCCATCAGTAGGATGGACCCGAATCAGTCAGACCGTGTAAGGTTTTCTCTAGTTCATTGTATTTTGCATCCAATGATGGATTCCCATGAGATTCATGTGATTGACTGATTCGTATGTCGGGGGTTTTGAACAAATTAGTCATTTGGTTCGCCCCTTTGGAGTTGTATTAGTTGTTAAACGCAACATTAATGGGACTAGCTACTTGTAAACATGGGCATCCCTCGAGAAAACAAAGATAAAAGGAAAATCTGAAAAGTGAAAAGGAGGATAACAAAGGTGCTGATATCTCCCAACTCAAGGATCTACGTAGTTCCTTCCTAGCCTTCTTGACCTTGTTAATACTGGCAAAATGATAGTGGCGTAAGGCCCCGAGCTAAAACCCACTACATAAAACAAGACAACTAGTACAAACTTAAAGCAAGATCAAAGTTAAATTAGTAACTTAATAAGGTACTGAGTTGAATCTATGACAGGTTTTATTGCAATTATCCTGAAATTCCCTCTTAGGCCGTGCATAAGTCATAGTTTAATACCGCATCTGCGGTTCATTCTATGGGAAAAGTTAGTAGGCTAGTGGCGGTAGAATTTTTCCACTATATTGGGGCCTATAGAAATTTGTCCTCTCAAGACATTCATATTGTAATCGCAAAATAAGAGAGTACGACATGGATATTATGAGAGAGAATCATATATAGGACTGCTATTCACTACTTTGTTTTGTTCAGATTCGAAACTCTGTTTTAAGTTGCCTACTTCAAACGTGAGAGGAGAAATTTGAATTTAGGATAGGACATCTTTCGAAATACCACTAGTTTAAAAATCGAATCTTCATGAGACTTGACACAATATTTAGAGAAAATACAAATACCACTAGTTTCATATTCCAATCATCAGGAGAGTTGTTACTTTTTTAGTGGGGGTGGGGCGAGCAATTGACAACTTTAATCCATAGTGAATTATAAGTTATTTATACCGACACTTTTTAAGTTTTTATTTTATTTTAATACAATGGATAGTTTAAATTACAAGGGGAATGTAGATTTCTTTCACACACACTACAATATTGTTATGGGGGTTCGAATTTAAGACTACTAGTCTGCAAGTAAAGACCTTTTTCCTTGGGTTATACCTCGTTGGCCACTCTTGAGGTTTTTACTGTTTTACAAAATTCAAGAGGTTTCAAAAACTACACCAACACCTAATGAAGTTTCAAATTGTTTTCACAAAATCAATTTCATCAAAAATTAGATTGTACATGCATCACATCATTGAGGTTAATTGTCATTTGAAGAAGCTTTTTTCGTGACATCAATAATTTGTCATTTGAACAAGATTTTTTTGATGACATCAATCATTTGTCGATAGAATATTAATATAAGGGGTTTTGTGAAAACAATTTAATATTGTTGTCATGAATATTGTTGTAGATGACTATTCAAAAAAGGTTGATGACTAAAATTTATTAAATGATAAGTTTTAATCATCAACCTCTTATGAATAGTCTCCATTATTCAAAAAAGGTTGATGACTAAAATTTATTAAATGATAAGTTTTAGTCATCAACCTCTTATGAATAGTCTCCATTTTTCCTTCAAGTTAAACCACATATTCATATTATGCATTGAATGCACATGAAATTTGGACATTTTGCAAGCCTAGTTTAGTCTAGTCCTCCCTATTAAAAAAGCTCTAGAATACCAAAAACCTTAGGAGGTGTGAGCAGCATAAATAGCTCTGTATTATAACTCCTAGTCCCACCAAAACCAAGGCAAGTTGAAAACCATGGGCTGATGGATAAAGATCAAACAAATTAACAAAAGCATATATTATAACTAAAGTGTCTTATTATCTTCCCAAAACAGGGGCAGTAAAAACTGCAACCACCTTATGCATACAGGCCACATAAATTACAGAGGAAAACAGCGACAACGTGAAAATGGAAAGCTGATTTCAGGGAAAGCTCTATAGAGGAACCCGGGAAAACTGTAAAACTTTAAGCGTTGGTGGTGGTGGCGGCGGCGGCGGTTGGCTTCTGAATGATAAAGGACATACACTGACCCTGGTTGATGTTGTCAAATGCCAAACAGCGTATAAAAGCATTTGGGTAAGCTGTTTTGCACTGGTAGATTTCATTGAGCACCAGAGACGGGTCAGTGCAACCAAACATGGGCAGCTTCCACAATGTCCAGTATCTCCCATCGTAGTAGCCTGGCATCGTGCTATTCTCCCTGTAAACATGCCCGATCTTCCATGGTTGCAACAATCAAACATTAATGAGTGTTAATTTATCTCCCAAAAATTTATCAAATTTAATGATAAATCCTACTGCAAGCCTAAAGATCTCATAAGTAAAGTACCCTAGAGATAACTTCTTGTTGATTGGATTAAATCATCCGAATCCGATCGATTAAGTCTGGTAAAGAGTCTTAAAGACTGTACAGTCCAGTCCAGTCCAGTCCAGTCTAATACATTATAGTGCAGAAGTTGAAATCTATTACTTTAAGAACACAGAACAACATGAAGGGACTTGTAGCTCAAGTGATTAAGAGCCGTTACTCTGCACCTGAGGTATTGTGTCCAAATCCCTCCTCCCCCAATATCCCTTGGATTGAAAAAAGAACACAGAACATCTAAAGTTTTAAAATCAACTGACCTCATCGAATTCGAGGCAAGGGATCCATCCTTTCTTGAGCATGTAGTCAATCTCCTTTGCAATTGAATCATCAGAGAGTGGTGGAAGGTAGGACAGAGTCTCAAACTTCTTGTTGTTGATTGGGTTCCATACCTGTAAAATCAAACAAACCAAGAATAAGAATCTTGGGTACTTGGGATATAATCATAGAACAACCTGTTAGATTTAACATTACCTTCATGCAGTGAGTTCTTGAACCATTGGAGACGGTTTTCTTGGTCCATCCAATCGAATCTTTAACCGGGAAAATTTTCGGAGGGTTGGTTGACAGGCCAACGTAGCCGGATGCAGCAACCGGAGCACTGAAGATTGCAGAAGACATCTTCAAGCTTTATTGTTTACCAGGATGATTGATCAAATATGAGAAAACAGCAAAGTCTGGTCGTGCACAAACTTGAAGCTACACAAACACAAACTTGAAGGCTCTTCTTCTGAAGGTGGTGGAGTTGGTTGGAGAAGAAAACAAAAGGAACCAGCTTTGGTGCTTGTAAGGCTGATCTCAGGTTTGGTTAAGTGGCAGTGGAGAGTGGTATTGAGAAGACGGTGGGTACAATGGTATTTCAATTCCTGCTTTAACCATCCTCTCACTAAAAATCAAAATCCACTTGGCATGCCAAGAGAGGATTGGGCCCCACCAATTCATGGTGCCACTAGGGAGCTTGTAGCCAATTTTGCAGACATCAGACTAACCGTTGGAATTAAATATATAGGAAGAAATGGCTCATCATCTCTGTCATTGGCTTTTCATGGAGCTTGGAGAAAACTTCAAAAATTGCTGGATGTGGACGGGTATTTCAACAAACTTCTAGCCAACTGATGGACAATCTTGTTCCATAAACTATACTAATTATGGAAAATATTTTTAATTCTAATAATTTCCCTCCCTAAGGGACTTCGAATTGTTCGAATGGCACACCGAAGGAGGCAGGCTTCTGAGCTAAATAAATACAACAGCATTCAATGTAAAGATATGCGGCTAGATGCATCTTTGGAAGAACAGGACAGACTTGCCTCTGGATTTGATCTTCCCAATACACCAATAAAGACTTCTTTAAAGCAACGATGCATCATTACCAATTGAAAAGCCTTCAAGATCCCTTCTGAGTTGGTTTAAAGTTTTGTATATCTTTCTGGAATGAGAATGAGACTTATCGTCAGCTACAAATTTATGGACAACACCATCAATCTCGATGAAGCTCCAAGCAGAACTTGTAACCACTTCTCTATCCTTCATCATTTTCCTGATCCTCGTCGCATCCTCCCAGTTTCCCATTTCGGCATACATGTTGGCCAGAAGAACATACCTTCCACTATGTTGAGGTTCTAACTCAATCAGAAGCTTCCCCACCCTATCCCCCAACTCAGCATGGCCATGAATCAGACAGCCATTAAGCAAAGACCCCCATATCCCTCCGTCCGGTTTCATTGCCATACTTCTTATCAATATTTCTGCATCCTTCACTTGTCCGGCGCGTGCCAAGAGATCAACCATGCACCCATAGTGCTCAATCCCTGGAGCAATACCATAAACTTTACTCATGCGTCCCAACAAGCGCCATGCTTCATTTACCAGAGTTTTGTGATTGCATGCAGTGAGAACTCCAACAAATGTCACAGCATTTGGTTTAGGTCCCTTCTTTTCCATTTCTGCAAAAAGTGCAAGCCCCATATCATTCTCACCATTGATAGCAAACCCCATGATCATAGCACTCCAAGTAGTCACATCTTTACTAGGCATCATACTGAACACTTCTTGTGCATCTTCAATGCATCCACATTTTGCATAAAAATCTATTAGTGCAGTACCGAGCTCAAGTCCATACTCGATACCATTTTCATTCAAAAACAAATTAATCCATTTCCCTTCTTCCAATGCGCCCAAGGACGCGCAAGCATTAAGAACACTGACCAAAAGAGACTCTTTGGGCCTGACATGACTCCTCGATTCACGAAACAGGTCAATAGCTTCATTGAAACAAGCATTCCAAACGTACCCAGAAACCATTGCGCTGTAAGAAACATCGTTTCTCTCCGGCATTGCATCAAACAAATCGCGAGCCTCATGAACCAACCCATTACTACAATAACCACTAATAAGGCTAGTCCAACAAGCCACATTCTTATCCAAACTTTCCTCAAACACTCTACGAGCAAATTCCACAGCTTCACATTTGCAGTACATACTAATAAGTGAGCTAATAACATAAACATCACAACCGTGTCCAAACTTCATTATCTGACCATGTAGCTGACCAAGCGAAGATACACCAACACATGCTTTAGCTAAAAAAGTGAAAGTACGAGCATTTGGCTCAGTGCCCATCCTTCGCATTTTGGTGTAAATGGAGAGACCCTTTTCAGATTCTGAGCGTTTCAAGAAACCCATAATCATGGAATTGCAATCAAAGATGTTGGGTCTGGTGATTTGGTATAATAGTGTCTCAGCGTAGTGCAGATTGCCATATTTTGATAGTGCAGAGAAGGCTAAGAGCTTGCTGGCAATGAAGGTGAAACGAGCAAGACCGGTGGTGACTATTTGGGCATGGATTTGCTTAAGTTCGTTCAAGCTTGAACATCTTTGTAGTAGGAGAAGATATGGAGGGCCTGTAACTGATTTAGAGAAGACTCTGCTGCTCATGAGGTAGACTACACTTTGAAGTTGACAAACAAGTAGCTGTAGTGTGGTAGCGTAGTAGGTCCACATGATATAACTCATTCACGTATTATAATATAAGTGGATATTTCATGATACTATACTTTAAAAGTGGGGAATATCAACCATGTCGTCCACCCATATTATATCATGTGACTGTACTACAGTACCACACAATAATTTCTCCATGTAAAGCCTTTTTATCAGACTTTGTGGGGAAAGTGCTCAGCTGTGTGAAACTCAAACATAATCAAATCCAAGACCTGTCACTGTAGATATAATAAATATTGAGTAAGCCACAAAATAACAAATGAATTTTAAGCTGGCAAAAGAAGAGAGAAATAGAAAGGATGGGATAATTAAAGGGTGAATTATAAAGCTTGGCCTTGGAAAGAATTTGACCCCTTATCCTAGGCCCACCTTTTTTTGGTATTATAAACAATTATTTGACTACGAGTTGTAGTGATAGAGTACTGAAATAATTGAATATTGTTATTTCCATTATAAAAAATTAATCCGATGTCTTAAATTTAATAAGTGGCAATAACATCTTTTGATCCTCACAACACTATGTTTCCTTCATATTCTTTTGGCTAAAGTTACTAACATTCTCTTTCTTGCTTGTTTTTCGTTTTTGCTAACCCTAAACCCAGAAAAATTAAACAAAATAAATGAACATGGGCAAATCAGAGCACACACCTAATGGGTAGTAAATGAATGAGAAAATCCTTCAAAAACCCCAGATTTCAGTAATACTCACTATGTTCCCTTTGTCAGTAAATTCTTTGTAAAACCCATTGAACAAATAATCCTTGAAACCAATAAAACCATTCAACAAATTAAACCTAAGAAAAACCCAGATATTTGTAATACCCAATCAGAATCAAAGTTTGTTTTTTATTTTTTTCAGTAAAATTTCTGCAAAACCCAAATGGTATAAACCCTTCAACAGAACAAATAAAAGAGTCCAGAATTTTGTATTACCCAATTGGAAACATGTTACCTGATGCCGAATGGAGGAGTGAGAGGAGTGTGAGCTCGTCAAAGGAGAGGGCTCTAAGGGGAGTTCGAGCTCAGCCCTGACCGGTTTCGGTGTAAAGGAAAGAAATTCATGTTTGACTGAGGCGGCACAAATATGGGAGAGAGGGTTTGGACTTTGAAGACTTCGGGGTAAGAGCAGGGTAGAAAAAAAAGGCGGGATGGGAACAAGATGAAGAGAGAGAGTTTCAAATTTTGCCATAAAACAGTTGGGGAGAGAGGGGATAAAGAGAGGAGAAAAGAGTCCTGACACGGAAAAAAAAACTCAAAAAGAAAAAGAGAAGAAAAAGAGTTGCCGGAAAATCTACCCACCTCAACGAGAAATTCTTGAATCCAACTGCCAAATCATGTCACTCATATAACTACATATAAAATAACGAGACATCCTATATTTTGGTCCAACACAACTCCACTATGTTTCTACCCTGTATATAATAGGCAGATGCAAGAACTTCTACATGTTAATGGGTGCGTGAATGATGAATCGAACACAAGACCTCTGGTGCAAATATAATTGTTTTTAACTACTCAAGCTAACAAGCTCCTTGATGAGAAACTCAATATTTAATAGAATAGACAATCTATTATTAAAATAAACAGTCAACCAATCATCATTGATGGTCCAAGAGCATACATATTGATAGATACAACTGCTATTTATTGCTGAAAAAATTGCTAGCAGAAACAGCATATCCATGAATGAAGCCGAAACTGGATTTAAATAAGAAATGAAATCTAGCATTTTTACATCATAAGAATGGCAAATGAGGATGGTAATATAATGATGGACTATAATGACATTGCCAGGAGATCCAACTGAATTGCTGCTGCAGGCACTCTTAATAACTTATACCAACAACCCTAACAGAGGATAATCAATGCCAAAGCTTCATGCAGAACCCATTTGGCACAACAGATGATTTCTTACATGAAATACTTTCAGAAAAGGTGTCAACAAGTTGCCCTGCAAGAGATGCAGGATCTTCAATAAAGGTATCTACAAACACTCTCACAATCCTTACCTCCTGAGGGGTAGCTCTCAAACTATACCAAGTCAGAAATTTCTGCCGGAAGTTCTGCTCGATATGTCCCTCACACTCTAACCATCTGATAACCTTCACATAATACTCAAAGTCCCTATTTGAAACACCATTTGCCACACACTCCTCATCTTGCCTTTCCCCACTTCTCTTCTTCGATGTGCTGCCATCTTGGGGTTCCTCTTCTTTCCCAGTCCCATTTTTTAAATCCTTGCTACTGGAATTGGATTTTTCATTCCTTCCTAGCCCGTCTTTGAGTGTTTCGATTTTGCAAGGAGTGATTGGCAAGCCAGCCCCGGAGCTACCAACAAATGGTACACATTCCATTCCAGTTCGAACAGGGGAATTTGACCCATTATCAGTGCTGATGTCTTCGATGATTTGGCCCTCTGGTGATTTCTTGCACTCACGTTTTAGGACATCCGAATTAGATACAGAGCCAACCATCCCATTGGCTTGTTCCTCGTCCAACAAAGAAATTGCATCTGCTGTAGGTCCTCCGCCCATGCTATTGCCGTTGATAGCATCATTTGATATATTGGCAGAAACAGTTTTGTCAGTGTCCTTGCAATAAGTAAGATAATTGTCTGCTCGGTTATCAGCCTGATCACCATATGGAATAGCATTATTAGTTTCATCTTCCACTGAAGAAGGATTAGAAAGGCTGCTACAGTTGGTAGCCGGGCTCTGACTTCTCTCTGTCACTGAACAATTAGGGACTTCATCTCCAGCAGTACTTGTGGAGAGCCGAACTTCACACATGCCCAAATGTCTTGTACCATGAAACGAAGTGACTTTGAAACAGTACTCTGTAGCTGGAATTAGTCCAGTCACAACAAACCGCATCTTCGGTGCAAACAGCATGCACGTGGGTTCCGCTGGATAATTCATATCATCAGCCTTACAGTGCCATAACTTGTAACCTGCTATATTTTCTGGGGGAGGATATTCGGAACCCAAAACCACAGTGAGGGATGTAGCATGGACATTCTCAAATCTAACCATGTCTGGAGCAATCAAACTTGGATCTGAAAGTTTAAAAGAGCACAACAACAAAACAACCATTAAATCCCTTGATGAACACGTGTTTGAAGAAACCAATAAACAAGATAAGATACATTATCTACAATAACATCATGGATTTTTTGTGATTCAATTAGGAAGAGGTGATGAGAGAAACGAAGAAACCAGACAACTCTGGTATAACATAAATTAAAAGATCATATGAAACTAATTACTTATTACAATTACAACGTTGGTATGTTTGCTACACAAGGTGACCAGCAAAGTTGTGGAATGCAAGTAAGTCCAGTGACTCTGGTTAGCGAGTGCCAGTTGCAGAGAATTAGATTACCTTGTCTAGTAGGCTTGGGCAATGGATGCGACATTGCATTGGAAAGCACTGAATCCAGTGACTCCACAGCAAATGCACAAAGTTTCTGAATCTCTGGTCCAGAAGAAAGCCTGTTAACAATACCCCGACCCATCTTTAATGGTAAGCCTGTTAATGGACCCACTTCAGCTTGAAGCTTCTTCACAGCTTCATCCACAATCTCATAAAGTTTTTGATACTTTTCAGTCCCTCGGAGAAGCTTATGACTCAAGAAGATACGATAGCACAGTACGTCCACTCGTCTGGTATCCTTTGCCATCACTAGTTGTTTCCTCCAGGATCTAAATACATGCAAGAACACAATGCCAATCAGATTGTTGTACACGAGGAAAAAGTAATATCTAAGCTAACTGGTACAGAAAATTAGTAATAATTACATGCTTCGTTGTGATATTACATGCTTTGCATTAGTTATAAACAGCATTCGCAGAGAAGAAATAGCAACCATTTATATGCATCATATTAACTGGCAACAAATTCATTAGTCAACCACTTACAATGCCTTACAAATAGAAGAAAATCCATTTTTCTTTTTTATTAGTCTTCTCCGTTTTGGAGGAATTTATACAACAACAAAGTGCAATACTAGGAAACAAATTCAAACTATAGCCAAATTACAAGTAATCAGCCAAGTAAAATGTAGTGACAGCCTAATTACAAGCAATCAATCTAACCAATTCAAATCAGCAACACCACCAACCCCAACCCCCCACCCCTGCACCCTCATGCTGGAGCATGGGTATTTCAAATGCCCAGCTTGACAAGTGCCAATTAAAGATTTTGCGGTCAACATCCAGCCAGACCAAGCAGTGCCGATCGATGTTGGCCCCGACCAAGCACAGCGGTCGACATTATGTCCAGACCAAGCACAGCGATCAAAATTTTGTCCAGACAAAGCACAGAAATCGACATTTTCTCCAGAGTCCAGACCAAACACAGCAGTTGACAATTGTCTAGACCAAGCAGCAGCTGTTGATGTATGTCCAGACCAAGCCACTCCAACTAGAAGCAATCCTCAGCGAATAGTTAGAGTTCTTGTCCTCCACATTGAAATGGTCCTTCAAGGCCATGATGATGATCACTCTTCAAACCAGTGGATAGTGATCATTCTTCTATATGTTGCAATTAATCTCACAGTGAGATTACGAGTTATGGATGGTACAGGTTTGGTACCCTGGCTAAAATTCAAACAAATATCCTCACTTTTATTTTAGATATCTATAACACCAGAACAAATATCTGTACCAAGCCGAGATATCAAGGCCTCGATGCTTCGAATTTATTGGCCGATACAAATATCAGTACCCAGGCCCAGAACAAGGAAACAAGGTGGCACATGTAGAAGGGTAAGGAAACACCGGCTCTACACTTTTATCTAGATTAAGTAGTGTAAGAGCCAAAATCTACCCTCTAGAAACTTGCCTTGATACCATGTTGGAAAATAGAGGAAAATCCCTTTTTCTTGTTTATTAGTCTTCTCCATCTTGGAGGAATTTATACAAGAACAGAAGTGCAATACTAGGAAATAAATTCAAACTATAGCCTAATTAAAAGTAATCAACCTACGTCAAATCTAGTGATAGCCTAATTACGCACAATCAATCTAATCAGTTCAAATCAGCTTAATTGTAGGTAATGAAAATAGAATAGACATCAATCAAGTAATCATAAATCAGTCAATATCTTCCGACACTATTTATCAATGAAAGAGAGAGAGATCTTTTTTTACAACTAGCAACAGTATCAACTCTGCAACGATGGAGCTGATATAATATTAACATATATACATGAACATGTACTTATGTATGTCTGTCAATATATAAGTTGCATTAGCATTAGCATATATACCTATGTATGTCTGTTTCATTAGCATATATTGACAGACATACTTATGTATGTCTGTCAATATTAACATATATACCTAATTAAAAGTATCAACCTTTTGGCATTAGCATCAAAATAACCAAACTACAGTTTCAAAATAACCAAAACATTTTTTTCAATAGAAGAATGCAATCAAGCTCCAAAAGTTACGATGTCAGGAAAAACTTCAATATCAGAACTGTAGCACAATGCTGCCCACTTCACAATCTGATTTCAAAGAATCTTAACAACTCAATATGACTCATCAAATCAATCATTCATAGACTCATAGGTGTCATAGGTGCTTGGCAAGTTTCATGAAATGTTACAACTTGAAGGAAAAATGTCTAATGCTATCTCGTGTATTAAATAGGGAGCATGCAGAAAGCTTCTGTATAAGGCTCTAAAGTTATTATATCCACTCTGTCATTTTATGGGTAACAGTGATTATGACTGTTATCCAGATAATACCCCTTAAACTTGTTGTAAGAAAGACACAGCTCCAAAAGAATAAGGCTTGGTGTCAAACATTAACCAACTATACTTTATAAAGAAATACAACTTGCACTTTTTTTGCAGCCTAATTGAGTGAAAGTAGTTTAGTCAATAAAAAAAAGTACATCCAATAGGTGCAAGTACAGAATTAGAGGTCATATAGACTTCAAATTTATTTTACTTTATTCTAAAATTGGAATAAAGATATCTATGATTTATGCAACAGCCATGAGCTTCAAATTTCTACAGAACAAAGGGTTTGGAGACAAACGCTCCAGAAAGTATAAGCACTAGGGCCATTATATACGTGTCTCTCCTTCAGAGCCACCAAATACAAAACTAGTACGCTTTGTATACTCTCGAGAAAGTTCAGTATAGCTCTTGAGAAGGAGAGGGAGAATCACCCCAGAAAATCTATCCCAGCATGTGCTGTTTATGTGATTCTATGCAACGAGTCTGCTAAGATCTTCTCGAGACTGACTGATTTTTATTGATTTTTATTAGATCTAAATGCAAAGCATTAGATGAGAAACAGAAGCCTGCTCAAACATTCTTCAACATATGCCTACATGTCAACTGAGAGAAGTCCCCGTTAAGAAAATTGCATTACAGATGATGGTTAGTCACCCATGTTTACTTTCTAATGAATAAAAAAGAAAACAAAAAATTCAGCTTGATTGCATATTTTATAAGCCCACATAAAATCAAGAATAACTCAAATTAATAAAAGGTCACATCACAGCCACCCAAAAGAACAGCTAGAACTGATACAGGCCAGTAGATTTAAGAGTTAAACACTACTAATTGATTAACATGAAAAGAAAAGAAGAACTCAATACTGCTTTGTAAACAATTGTAAAAACTCATAAATTGTTAAATGATAAATTGTGCACTTAAAGTCCTACATAAGTATTCAAGAAGATTGCAGTTCTTTATCCAAAGTCTACGAATTTGTAGAAAAAAGTAATATGGTACAATAATGAAACTTAATCATGTAAATTAGCATACAACCACTGTAGTAAGAAACTAAGCCCACAGATTAAGTTATTACGCATTTTTCATCTTAAGATAGTGCAATAAAATAAATATAAAATCATAAATTTGAATTAAAATTAGCAATATGTCCATTGCGCAATACATTTAAAAAAAAACTGGGGGGCGTAGGATAGACTTATAAAAAGAAAAATGAAAGCCATCACGATTCTACGGAATTGTCCATAAAATTTTGTGAAATAGACCATAAAATAAAAAATAAAAGAAGATAAAAAACAGAGTTAATATGAGCAAATATTTACCCGAGCAAATCATTCACTTTGCCGCAAGATACACAGTAAAAGCTCCCATCAAGTCCCCTGCGTCTTCCCTCTTTGCCAATACCACAACTTTCACGTTTTAAAGCGCACTCAAGGTGGCACGACATGCCACATGAATTACCCTGGAATGGCGGCTCCGAGCTGCAAACCAACCAAAGGCTCGGGTCCTTGTTGTCATCAAACTGATAGCAGATGCAACATGAACACCTCTTGCAAAATGCACCTTCTCGATTTAAGGTAGCTCTGCAAGCTGAGTTTTTGCAGAACGTAGTATTAGCTATGTCACTCCCACTACTATTGATTGAAATACTGTTTTCTGGAACAGGTAGTCGAGATGGATTCTCAGTTTTCCTCTGCCTTTTGGCAGTTCTTTGGCCAGGTGCATCAGATGATTGTGGTTTAAGGTCTGTAGAAACCTCATTTCCCCCTGGTTTCCTTTCAGACACAACTTTCAGAAGGTGCTCTATTATTTTCACTTTTGTCAAGCCAGTATATTTCCTTTCTTTCCCCATTTCTGCACATAGGATCTGTAAAATCTCCTGACGGCTCCATGACTGTAGCAATTCACAGGCCCCGTGTGACCACTTTGATATTTCATATACAAGCTCTCTCTTTTTCTCCACACTTAACTTACTGCTTTTTGACTGATCAAGTGCAAGTCCTGTAACCAAGATGAATGAACATGTATATCAGTATATCGAAAGTAGAAGAGTCAAACTGAGGAAAGAAAAACATAGATCTCTGAAAAATTCCTAAAAGAAGGGTAAATATATTTAGAAAGAGATATGGACAATGAAACAAAAAGATTTTCGCCAGAAACACCATACATTGAATCAAAATTCCTCTTCTGCATGTTTTTTCAATTAGGATCATCACTTCAAATCCATATAACCATAAGCATGACATGTCAACAATAAAGAACAAAAACATGATATAAGTAGTAGCACAAATCCCAAAACAACTAACATGCACCCTTACAAAACTGTCAACTAATCTCCATTGCCTGCCACTTCAGAGACTCATTAGGAATCCCAGTCCAATCTTTAATTTTAGTCATGGAGACTCATCAGAATCCCGGTCCAATCTTGAATTTTAGTCGTGGAGGAAACTTAGTATTAAATTAAACAAAGTATACGCAATACTAACATCATTAGGAAAATGGTTGACTTTCATTTACAAGACAGCCTAACTACACCAAATATAATAAAAATTGCATGGGATGGTCACACATAATTGGGTAAGATCCATCAAGCCCACAGGAATCCTGGAACTAAACACAAACTCAGTTGACTTTGGAATTCCCTTGGCTCTGCATTTTCTTAAGAGCCTACACATGACTTATTTGATAAGGTAGCGTAGTCATGAGCATAAACTACTACCAAAAAAATAAAATTACAAGCTTACTTCTCCTAAATAATGCAAGGAGATAATATTATGCAGTGAAAAAGAGACCACTTCATTATATCTGATTAATAGCAGCTGAACAACTCAGAAATCTACCCTTCACAATTTAGCTCTGAAATGCTGAATACCATCACGCGGGAGATGATCTAAAATCAAACATCAATCTAGAAGCTACAAGACCATCAATATTCATCAATACCTATTAGAACCCATAAGCTCGAATCAAAACCAGAAAACACTAAATTCGGGAAGAAAAAACTAAATTCGGGAAGAAAAAACACCCACAATTTTCCTTCAAGCTGACTAGCATGCATATTCCAAATCCAGCAAAAGAGTCGAACTTTATTGCCCAATCAAGAAAATTATCAAATCCAAGCATCCACAACCATTAAGAATTAAAACCCAGAAACAATTTGAGCATAAAAATGAAAATAGAAGATTAAAAAAACAAAAGGGTACCATCAGATGAAGAATCCGTGGCCATAGTTATTGAATAACAAGCAGTCCAGCCTCCACATTACCACAAAGAGCCCAACTTTTGTGAACCTGGAAATCAGAGAAACAATTAGGACACACCCAGAGACCACCACATCACATAGGAACAAAAATAGTAAAAGAAGAAAAACCCCAAAAAGAAAGACAGAGAAACAAAAGGGATTATGAATGAAGGAGAGAATGAGAGGGAATAGAATAACAACTACCAAGAAAAAGACGCTTGAAATTCTGCCACACAGCCCACGAATCCATGACTTCAATCTCTCTTTCCTTTTCTCTCTGTTCCTTTCAGGACCCGAAGATGCAGTGAAAGGAGATTCGAAGAGGGCTCATAATCTGCTGCTTCTTCTTCTTCCTCGATTTGTTAAGAGGGAGACAGAGGGAGTTTAGTGAGAGAAATTGAGAGAGAAAGAGATGGGAAAAAGTATCAAATCCCCATCAAAATTTAAGAGAGAGAGAGAGAGTAGAGAGGCTATGACCATGAATTGAGGCTACGACAAGCGCAAAAGCGGCTGCATGTCATCTTCTTTTTCACCTCTCTCCTCTCTCTCTCACTCACTCACTCACTGACTCACTCATCTGATGGTATTGCTTAATTACTTGGGCCTTAGTTTTCCTTATTTTTGTGGGTTCATTATTTATTGATTTTATTATTGTGAAATACTAAATTACTGTACTAACCTTTTTCTTTTTTCTTTTTGTCTTTTTTTAGTTGTGATTTATTATTTGATGAGTATTTGAGTTAAAGGGAGAGGAGTTTCTCATATACACACTACTACGGTGTTATGGGAGTTCGAACATTAGACAATTAGTGTGTAAATCAAGACCTTTTTCTATTAGGCTAGACCTCATTAATAGTATTTGAGTTTTCATATGTCAAAGAAGACCATCGAAATGTGACAACGTGTGATGTGTTAATATTGATTATTTTTTTCAAAGTTCTCTATAATAATTTCTCATGAAAAGAGGTACAAAGCAATTATGGTGCCGAATATGGGTAAATCTTCTCTGATGATCAAACACAATAACAAACTAAATTATTATGGAGAGAAAGAGAATAAAGTGAAAGAGCAATTGAGAAAACTGTAAATTTTTTTTGGACAATAGTTGGATCCTAACTAATCACGTAGCCAAAATCAGTGAATATAAACTAGCCACAAATAGCCATTACAATTACGGAGAAATTTAACACCAACACTAAGACAATTTGGTGCACATCCATTAACGATCATGCATGATTGAAGAAACTCTGGCATAGGCATCCCAATTAAGATTGCAAAATTAGAACAATTAAACAGAGATAGAGCTTGAAAAAACCAAGCCAAAGCAATACAATTAAAAACTCTCACAAAAAGAGGCAAAAAGCTCTCACAAGGGAGAGATGAAAATTACACATAAAATCTAAAGAGAGTTATGAGACTTGTTCCAAAAATAAAGAAACTAAATCAACCGGATTGCAACCCTGTTGTTACAAAGCCAACCTACTGTCCGTAAGCACCAAAAGATAACATATCTGCACCAATCGAATTTCCTCTTTAAGTAGATACATCGATAAATGATAGATCCACAAAGATCTTTTATAGAATTACGCCATTGTTTCTAACATTTGAATAGATGCTTAGTTGTTGAGTTAATAAATGCAAGAAATTATTTTTTTTAATAATATAAGCGTTAGTGGGCAAGAAGGGCAATCGAACCTTGGACCTCGCTTGTAGGGGTAAAGACTCTTAATCACTTGAGCTACAAGCTCCTTGTAAATGCTAGACAAATTCGAAATGTGTAATTATGTTGTTAGGCTACATAAAGTTGTAAGGATGAAAATGTCCTTACCAACAAGGAGCCAAATATTGTCTTCCTTCTTCCGATGGATTGAGGGAGGACCCAAAGAGGGCTATAATTGTCAATTCCGAAGTAACACTGAAAAACTCAGATTGATTCTGTTGTGTGCCAATAAGCCAATTGAATAGAATGAGAAGAAAGACAAGGGGGATGGATTTGTCAATGCATAAGGAGTGCCCCACATGTATGATATAAGTGTCAGATAAGGGGAAGGGTAGGGTTGGTTATGCATCATTTCTTAAAGTTTGACAGTTTGTTCGCTAACATATAAAATTGTACAGTAAATCAATGATAGTGCTCCCCATGCCAACCAACCCTTTGCCTTGCCAAACCCTAGTTTAGCAATGGTTGGTACCAATCAAATTTTTCTCTATTTTACCATTCTTAATTCTAAGCATCTCTTATTTAATGGTATGCTATTTTTGATGTGTTTCGTGATTACAAAGTGGACTTGTAACTTACGTAATTGAACTTTCGCTATTGCATTCAAGGTCATATGTTTCGTGATACCACATTTATTTCGTCAAATATGACACTAAATTTTTGGCATTGACAAATTTGAGTATTAGTTCCTTTATTACTAGAAGACCAAGAAAACTATGAAAATTATATGTAAGTTCCTTGTGCACCTTTAATTTTTTTTTACAAATTTTACAAAAGTTCAATAGTTTAGAATGTCGTAATTTTCATCAAAATATAAAGTGGAGTACATGTGTTGAGAGTGTAAGCATTTTTTGACAATTAGCATTTAGCAAAAAAATGTTTGTAAATGTTTTTGAATCATAAAAGCTGTGCTTCTCTAGGAATCACTTCCAAGTGTTTTTTCCATGCTTAAATATTTAATAAAAATTCCAACATTCTTCAAATGAGCATAATGGCTTCCTACAAAAGCAGTCATAAATGACTTTTCTTATAAAGCACTTTTATGACTTAGAATTTTTCTATCAAATGTTGTCAGAAACGCTTTTGACATAAAAGCCATTTCAACATTTCCATAAGCAGTATGAAGCATGACCTCAATTTAAGAATACATTTCGTGAGCTTAGTACTTCTGTTGCAAATGCAATCATTGTTTACCTACATTGATTGCAAGAAGTATCTGCTGACATTGATATGAATTATATACACATGCTGTAGGGGAAAAGGAAAAGATGGAGAGAGGGGGTGTTTTATTTATATATGGTAATTATTGGTGGTATTGCATGGTGACAGATGATGCTATATTTAGAGTTGATTTAACAGCAATGGATAAGATTGGATGCAGTGTCGTCGTCGCATAAGTCATGTAAGTTCACGGCACGTAAACATGTTTTGCTTTTGAGGGCAAGGAGGACGGTCGGTCGTGACTCGTGACTCTCTTAAGCGATTATTATTATTATTATTATTATATTATTATTATTATTATTATTGTTTTTGAAATTACATAGGATTTCCCAACATTTTATTTTTCTTCTTTTCAAATTTCTATTTTTATATGGCAGTTAAAATTTGTTTTAATTTTTAGAATATTGAGATCCTTTGTTATTGTTTTCTTTGTTTCATTATAAATTAAAAAAAAACTTTATTTTTCCAAAAAGGTATCATGGTCAATGTATTTGCTTGAAGGCTTAATAAGCGAGTTATTAACACGCACACTCTTTTAAAATTGATGATTTTATTAAAAATATTTCTTCAAAAAACAAAATTAATTCAACAATTAGACCTCAAGAGTGTATGTGCAATCTAATATCTGAGGTTAATATTGTCATTTGAAGCAATTTTTTGATGTTGCCAATAATTTTTAGGTGCAAAATTAACATAAGGGGTTTTGTGAAAACAATTAGAAACCTCAGTAGGTGTTTGTGTAATTCTAAAATCTGAAGGAGTTTTATGAAAACACCAAACTCATGAGATGTTAGTGTAAATAACTCGGCTCAAGTTCACATTGTCAAACTTCTTGTTTCAACTTCGAAGGCAGCTGATCAAACACCACATTGACCCAAAGATCGTAGAGTCATATTAGCTGGGCTTGATAGAATACAATATTTTCTCTCAACAAACCTCACAATACAAACTCTATTGACTAATATAGTGCTAACCCAACAAACCCTCAACTAATCCTAGCCTAACTGATGTTTAACAAACCAACCATAGTGCCAGCTCATCAAGTTGACTTACTCATATATGGAGTCCTATCAGGGCTGGATGTGATAAAAACGTACCTCCTCTTTCCAAGAACATCACAAGGTCTTGAAGTTATGAATATCCAGAAAGAAAAAAATAAATAAAGCTTACGACATAGAATGGGCTACACAAAGAACTATGGAAAATTCTGCCCAGTCGGTCTGGTTAACCGCACCGCATTCACCTTTATACGTATGGTACCATTTTCATACAAATAAAGCCAAAAAAATATTAAGTAGAAAATTCTATGCTTCCCATGATAAATAATAAGAGGATGGTGTATATATATATACACAAATCAGAAACCGTTTCAATATTCAATTGTATCTTACAAAATCGCTTCAAGGAATTACTAAAATTTCAATAATTCAATTAATTGGCCAAATGATATAGGTTTCAAGTTTTATAGAGATGATATTTGAATGAGTATCTACAAATATAGACGATTTGGATTAATGAAATACAATATGAAGTGGGCCCTACAAAGATATCCCTCAAATAAGTTAATTTGAAAGATCTCCCGATGAAAGCTATATATCCAAGCCAAGCTCTCATATGCGACATTATTGAGCAGTTGAAGAATTGAAAGATAAACTATTTTATTCTTTTCAATTATATATTTGAGAAAGAGACGTATGCCTAACAAAGCCATCAAAAGATTAATTATTGGAGATAAGGGGTAAGGAGATGCGCTAATTGGGCGCCGACAAATTAAGATTTTGTCATAAAACTCCATACGAAATGGTTGGATGAAATTAAAGAGGTCGTGAATATTCAGCTATGTTTCTTTTCTTGTGGCGTTAGGAATCAATTATCAAACCGACTACTTTGCATTCGACCAAAAAAAAAAACTGCTTTGCCACATGGATTCCTAGGAATGGACCGGACGGAGTGATTGGTGTGGCAATTATACTGGGTTGATCATCTACTCAACCCCCAGCAGTCGTACAAGGATATTATTATTCAACAACTTAGCTGCCGGCTAGT